TTTGTATGAACACATTGAATATTATTAAAATTTCTTCTTAAATCATCAACAAATACAGCTGGATTTAAATCTTCAATAATTTTTCTTTTTGGATTATTATTAAAATTATCTTTATCATAACCAGAACTAATGATTTTATCAATGGGAAATCCATGTAAACGAAAATTTTCTAATCGATGTTCAATAAAATCGGAAGACATTGCTGTAACACAAATTAATTCATAGCCAGCTTCATGTAATAAAAGACATGCTTCTAATGATCCATCATGCATTGGCATTCTTCTCCAACCATATTCATTCCATACTTGTTTAAATTCTTCTTTTTCTTCATCATTAAAATTGACATTATATTTTCTTTCAGCCTATTTATGTGTATAATTAATTAGTATTTTTTTCTTATTGAAAATTGCATGAAACTTACATAATGAGCATTTGGTGAAACAACTGTTAATTTTTTTCCAAACGTTTGTTCATAAATTTGTGCAAAAGTTGCATGATAATCCAAAAGAACTCCATCACAATCAAGAGCAATGATTGGTTTTAGATTTGTAGTTGATGATAATGTTGAATCTGTTGTCATTTTGTAATATTAATAATACTCAATGGAATTATCTATCTATATTTATATACAATTATAACGTGTGCCACGTTTTAACTGATGACGCTATTATTTTGTGAAATATTTCGCAATTACATTGGCATTATGTCATTGAAATATCGGCGAAAGTATATTGATTCTATTTCATCATGTTTTTTTTTCTTACTTATGTATGACTCAGTTTTTGTCGAATCATATATAAAATATTATTTATAAATTTAACATTAACAAGATACACCCATTTTATATAGATAATATAACATATTCACATCTGATATTAGTCTAATGGAAATTCTATAGTGAAAATAAGATTTTATTCATTTGATGCTAAATTGGAAGGTATAATCTATGCAGAAGATTTTTATTTACTATTATAATATATAAATATTTTCTTTTTGTAATATGATTGACACGAGTTTTTTTCGTTTAATTTTTTAATTATTTTGTGTATATCTGAACTATATTAAGTGAAGTGAACATTTGTAAAATATATCTTAATGTGAATGAAAGGAAAAAAAAGTGAATTACATTTTAACACAAGTAACGCTCATCCCTCGGGAAACAAATAAAACAAATAGTGCTCGTCGAGAAAAGTTGCTTGATCCTCGACTGATTTTCACTTGATCACGATCAGATACTACTTATTAGACTGTACCTTCCACATTATCATAACCTGTCTATCCACAAAAAGAAAAAACAGACTTATACAATTTAATCCATCTTTTACGGTGAAGGTTCGATTTTTTTGGTCATCACTTAAGTTTTCAAAGGTTCTGACTTGACAGTCATTTGTCGGCATCACTATCAACTACTTCCCATTATACATAAAATCTCTATAAACTAATGTGACATCTATTCGTCTTGTTTATTGATTTCTTTGAATATATCAAACAGTCTGCTAAAGTGATATTGTAACATCCAGATATTGCATACGATACCTTTTTTAGTGAACTCAACGATGCAGTATGCAAAAGAGATGGACACTGTTCAGGTTTTTCAAAATTTCAAGTGAACTGAAACTGAGAGAAGTTTTATGATCGTTAAGTCGAACTGAACAGAAAAAAGAAGTTGAAAGATATCTTGAGTATGTGAATGTGTAATAAATTAAATATTCATACAACACCCACACCCTCGTGATGGGTATGAATTCTTCGCTCAGGGATTGAACATATGAAAAATGCACTTGAAAATAAACAAGCAATTTTTTTGTTTACATTAGAAGAAACGTTTTTCAGTGAATTCTTCGTTCACAGTGCGACGAGAGAAAAATTTTCAATTTTTTTTTCGGAAGGCAAAATAATTGTTGTTTTTCTATAAACAAAACTTATTTGACTAACATCTAATCAACGACAAGAAAAAGACAATATAGCTATTTGATTTTTTTTCTTACTAAATTATTCATACACATTGTCGGTCGGTCGATCGATTGTGAAGTTAGATAAAATATTTGAACAGCGCATTTTCTTTCAAAAAGTAAACCAACGGATCAGTTTGTTTTTCATCGTCAAATTGATTTTTTCAACAACGGGTTGATGTATTACACCTCTTCTTATTTTCCACTCAGTGTGACAATAAAATGTGGAAATTATTTGTTTGCATTTTACTTTTTCAACATTTCGAAACTATTTCGAGTAGCCTCGTTTCTATTGGTGTGATTTATAATGTTTCTTTGTTGATGTTCGATCCTAATTCAAAATCAATTAATGGTACTTGTAATGAATGCGTGTGTGCAATGATGTTAAATACAACATCGTTTTCATTCTTGAACTGTTTCCAGAATAATGAGACATGTCAAATGTTCTCAACATCTTCTAACGCGAGATCATTCTCACTAATGAATTATTTGGCAAGTTCATTTTACTTTTTTCAACTGCCAGTTAGTGATGTTACAACAGCGAGCACTTCGTCCAGTGAGTTTTTATTTTCTTTAGATACAATTCAAGGTATATGAAAAGCGTTGGAACGATGAGATAATTTATTCTTAAGAAAGTCTCTCCTCTATTTAAGCTAAACTAGTCATTTATCAAATGAATGATAATAGAATTCGATATATTAATCTCGCGTCTAGTCAATGTACTCGCCAAGAGAGTACTCATAGCTTTATATTCTGATCATTAGCGTTCTAGTACATTTATCTTAATTAGATACAAAGTTAATGAAAAATTACTAAGAGACTAAATCAGAGAACTGAACACGTTACATTACGTTTAGATTTTTTCGTAGAAAATATCGATAAGCATCTCACTTTTACAAAATAAAAAAGAAATGAATAAAAATACGTATTGATGAAGGTACAACATTACTCAACATAAATTATAGTAAATTGTTAATTAAACCACGATATATGATTAAAAAAAGTATCAGAGTGATCACTTGGAAAAAAACATTTATTATAAATTGAGAAAAAAAATATATTTTAATCTAAAAGTTATAACAAAAATCAACATATTATCTTTTACATGTTTAAAAAATCTCTGACAGTACTCGAGAAAAGAACAAGGCGTTTTTCTATTTTTGAAATGGCCATTCAATAAATTTAAATAAATGACTCATCAGAAAAAAAGTGGAAGATAACATAAATAAGTTATCAAAAGATTTTTGTGCTGTTTTTCATTTAATTAGTTTATTTTTTCACACCAGCACTTGTTTTTTTTAATTGAATTTCTCTGTCAGATTTATTTCAAAATGCACGGAAGCTTATTAAAAATTTTGATTTTATTTAAGCAACAACTTCAACTAGTTCAAGCACAAGTACATCAACAAGCAGTTCTACAACCAGTACAAGTTCATCAACAAGCAGTTCTACAAGTAGTTCAAGCACGAGTACATCAACAACAAGTAAGTAAAAATATTCTCTTTATCTCATATTAAATAATCAAACATATATTGAAACGAAAATCTACAGATATTAATGTTCATCACATTTTCTATGTATATTTTATTTATATTTATAATCATAAATTAAAGGAGTAGCATTGTTATTATTCCTGCAGAATCTGATCACGCTTAATCATGATAAATTTTTAATAATGTTATATGATAGCAGTTTTTTAAAATTATAATAGAGAATAAAATATTTCATCTTGGGAGTATGGGTAAGGATGCGAGATTGATATATCAGCCACATCCATATACTCAAAATACACGAAGATTTATTAATAATTTTTATTTGCTTTTATTTAGCAACAACAACTACAACACCATATAATTCTTGTTAGTTGTTTTATATAAAAATGATAAGATGTAGAAATTTTTATACATTATTTAAGGTAAAAATCTACGTTGGAATCAAACAGGTCAAATCGTTGCTGGAACAACATCAGGTTCAAATGCGAATCAACTAAAGAATCCAAGTTGTTTATACATCGACAATAATAATACTCTATATATTTGTGATTATGGTAACAACCGCGTTCAGAAATGGATTCAAGGTGGTACAAATGGTACGACAATGGCCGGAAGTAGTACAGGTACTTCAGGTTCAACATCCATATTACTCAATTCTCCTACAGATCTTACTTTTGATACGAATGGATTTATGTATGTCGTTGATAATGGCAATAACCGCGTACAAAAGTTTGCTCTAGGCTCTATTAACGGCACAACTGTTGCTGGAACGATTGGCAGTCATTCAAGTGCATTGACTGATCTAGACCAACCAACAGCCATTGATATTGACAATAATTCAAATCTTTATATTCTTGATATGGGGAATACACGATTGGTAAAATGGGCTCCAAATGCAATAATGGGTACTCTTCTGATCAGTGATAATAGTCTGAATAATGTCTATGGCATGATTCGCATGCCAAATTCATCGAATCAAGTCTATATGTGTGATGAAGGTTCCGATGAAATACACGTATGGGCATATGGTGCGTCAAGCCAAAATATGAGTCTTCAAACAGTCAATGACAGTCAACATAATAGTCTTAACAATCCAACAAGCATGGTTTTAGATCCGTATGGTAATTTGTATGTTGCTGATACAGATAATGATCGAGTAGTTATGTATTGTGTCAATTCAACAGTTGGTATTGTTGTTGCTGAAGATAATAATTCTGTGCCTTCACTCCAAAAACCAGTAGCTCTTGCTTTCGATTCTGATCTGAATTTGTACCTAGTTAGTACAGACAGCGACCAAGTGGTGAAACTTTCAAGAATTTAACTCGATTGGAGATTATTTTTTCACTTTATAACTATATATATATAAAACATTAAATCGTATATCTGACGTTTTTTTTTTGTGTTGGTTTTATTTTCATAACTAAAATAAATAATTAACCTCTTCATTAAAATATGAATCATAATTAGCTGATAGTCGGAATGAGAATCAAGTAATTAATCGAACTATGTAGTTTTGTAGAGGAAGAGTAGAGTTTTCATCTTGAGTAAATACTTTCATTGTACATTTTCGAAGAAAAGGTGATTGATAATAATCGAAAACAAATTTTAAGATGAACTTATTTACTCAAGACAAATAAAATGATCATAGTTTAATTAATGAATTATAGATAAGTTTGTCATAAATATCATCGACTGACTAAAAAGGGTTCTCCATTTTCATCATTGTGAAAAAGTATAATGTCTCAATGAAATTAATATGAATATTTTTTGAATTGAGTAGATGTGGGTTTGAGTGCTATCCCCTTCTCACTTACCCACACCCACACCCGCTCCCAAAAAATAATTAATACAATATCATTCTAAAAGTGAAAAAGACATGATAAAACAATTAGTTCCATTAATATGAAAATATATATTTGATTTCGAATGTGTTTGAATGTGAAGTCTAAAGATTATTTGAAAAATTCAATGAAAATTACTTTAGCATAAACACTAAGCGCCTTTATTTGACATATTGGGTATTTGTTAGAAATAGCAGATATTTCTCAATTCAAACATGTTTTACATCTATTATTCTTAATGAAGATTTTGTTTTTCTTATAAAACAATATTGTTGAGCACTCATAATTATAATTAAAATTATATTTCGAATACTTCAAGAAAAAAAAATCTCTTATCATTTCTTGTATGAAAAACTTTCTTTCTTCTGATGTTTTACTCGAACGGAATAAGTCAGCTTTCGATACAGAACGATCCAATGAAATATCTCGCTGATGTCAAGATTTCTCCTCAAATAGTTTTTCTCTTTTTTTACTTTTTTATTGTTAATCTTTCTTTAACTGACATTCAGTTTTTTTCTTCTCTTCCGTATACTCAATTACTTTCTCTACAAGTCATACAGACGTTTTCTTTTATCATTTATCATCCTCAACTGATCAATCGAAATTACAGTAGATCAGTTTGAAGGTACGTAGATAATCAATATAATGTAAATAAAAACAACACAAACTCTTTTCTTCTTCATGTATTTCATAATTAGTATGACTCGAATTCCTATACAGTTTGCAAAGTGTCAAGTTGTATATTGTCTACATAAGAAATACAGTTGTTTTCCCATTTTATAAACATTCTCAAAAGCAGTAAATTATCAGACATATTACCAACAATTTTTTTCGATTTCTAACTGCGTACTCATCTATTATTGGCAAGGATTTTAGTCTTATAATAACAAATAATATTAATAATTGAAGAGGAAACACATCTACAAAGTAAAAAAAATAATCTGTAATCATGACATTTCTACTAAATATGAACTGAAATACTCCGTGTAAAATAATATTTTATATTGCCGAGAGTTGTTATGAAGCTTGGATTTGCCTAATACTTTTCTCTATCATTAGATTTAATTTCTAAAAGTGCATCGTTGTTAAAATTATGAAATATGTTGTCGTGAGAGAATATTTTTTTAAACTTAATCATCATCATTCATTTAGTGAAAAAATGTCATCGTCATCGGATGCAAACATCATCGCCTTGTTGAATAATACTACTATTCAAATCAATCGTTATTTGACACTATTTATTTTTCTTTTCGGAATTATTGGTAATGCTTTAAATACACTTGTTCTTTCACAACGTCCTGTCCGATCAAATCCTTGCTCATACCTATTTCTTGTCTCATCAATTGCTTATTCTATAAGTATTATTTCTGGCCTTGTTCCTCGATTTTTATCTACTTGGAATGCTGATTTGACAAATACAAATCCGATTCTTTGTAAAATTCGTATCTTTATCTTTTTCAATTCATTAACTATTGCTTTTTGGCTTATCATGTTGGCTACTATTGACCGATGGCTTTCTTCAAGTATCAATGCGAATCGTCGACAAAAAAGTTCATTGAAGAATGCGCAACGTGGTATAATTTGCATTATGATTGTTTCAACTATTATTCAGATACAACAGCTCGTTTGTTTTGAAGCCAATCTTACCAATGCTCCAATTAAATGTTATACAAAAACAGTAGCATGTAGCATCTTATCTGACATGACCTTTGCTTTGATTACAGTTCTGATTCCATTATTACTTATGTTCATATTTGGTCTGATGATTATCTCAAATGTACGTCAAACACAAGCTCGTCTACGACCAGTGAACATGTCGGTTGATAGTAATGAGGGTCATAATTCAACCACAATCGGCATTGGTCGTCAAAACCAACAAAAGAAAAGAGATCGACAATTGTTAAAGATGCTTTTAGTCCAAGTTCTTGTCATTCTTGCATTTACTCTTCCACTTGCTTTATCAAAATTGTATACAACATTCACAAGAAACACATACAAATCACCATTACAAAATACGATTGAAAACTTTATCTTTAATTTACTGCTTGTTCTTGTAAACACTGCTTCCGGTATGCCATTCTATATTTATACGTTGACTGGAGGAAGTATATTTCGAAAAGCTTTATTCGATCTTGTCAAATCATTACGTGACAAGATGAGATGGTGACACAATTGCTTTCTTTAATTGAAATAAAAATAACTTTAACTCAGCATAAAGATCCTCTGTTTCGTCAGTAATCTACTAACATAGTATCCCAATTCATAGTCTAATAGAAAAAATAAACCAATCACATTATAACTAGGGGTAGGACAGTTTCATATTAGTTCCGTTCTTAGGAACTGCGAACTGTTCTATCCCTATTTATAACAAAAGCTCGAGATGTTGATATGAATTTATTAGCTAAGAGAACACAAGGTTTTAGTAGTACTGATTTAATTGAAATATGCTAACGTGCTTGTAAATTAGCAATTCAAGAAGAAATGAATAGCTTCATAAATGATTATGGCTATAGATTGCTGAATCATCGTATGAAATTCATAATTAAAATATATTTGCTTGATTATAATAAAAGATTTTACGTTTATTTGAAAGAATAAAGAAATGGTACATATGAAGTATTGAAGTTATGCAGGAATAATTAAAGAATAAAAGGTATATTTGAAATTTAGAGTTATATGTAATAAAAAATGAAACTCATGTTAAATAATGTGAAAAAAACTGAACTCGGTTGTTAAAAGTATCGGATACATATAAATTCAGTTGATTATCAACTATTACCCAATAGGGAGAAAACAATTGACTCTGACTAATGCCAGGTGAACCTGTGACGCCAGCAATGGTTATGCCGTTGAACTGGCCTGCAAAAAAGAATTGAATGCGATGGTTTCCCGAATCAGCTACATAGATATTGCCCATTGGATCTAATGTAATGCCGATCGGTTGATTGAGAAGTGTCGATGTGTTACCACTTAATCCAGTAGGACTGCCAATGACGAGTGTCCAGCTACTTGCACCTAACACCCAACGAACAATATTGTTGGTTTGAGCATTAGCAATTAAAAGACTATTTGAGGAGGAATCAAAAGTAAGACCATATGGATACGCCAATTGTGTAGTACCAGGTCCTGCACCATTTCCACCAGCAACTACTGTACCCGAAGAAGCATTCACAAGATATTGCATTATTCGATGATTGAATGTATCGGCTATGTAAATTGTACCTGTGCTTGAGTCACGGGCTATACCACACGGTCCAAAGAAGGTATTGTTTGTAGATCCCGAAGTGCCTAAATTAGAATTGTATAGAATAATTTTTTTTATATTTTGTTAGGCGTTCTGAGCTCAATCTTCATAAGAATATGCTAAGAATTCTCATTATTTATTTTAATTTCTTAAGCTCTGAATGATCTGTTATTTTAGTAATCTATAACTTGTAATTTGCAATTAATAGATCAGAAAAATATATTAAATAAATATTTCAATCAGAAAACGAGAATTAATAGTTTACAAATCTTTTGTTCTATCATTTCGTACCTGTAATACCGGCAATCGTAGTGCCAGATGATGCGCCATTTGCCCAATATACAACTCGATGGTTATCTCTATCTGTAAAATACATATTATCATTAGAATCAAGCACAACACTGGCAGGCAAGTTCAAAGCAATTGAGCTTGCACCAGCAGTTCCATTTGATAGACCAGCCACCGTTGTACCATTTGATGCATTGATTAACCATTTTTGTATGCGATTGTTGCTAAAATCGGCAATATAAAGTGAGTCGAATGAACCCAATGCGATCCCATATGGTTGAGAGAACAAATTAGGGGCTGTGCCTCCAGAACCATCACTCGCACCAGCTGCAGTGATACCCGTTGTATTCCAACCATGTAAGATCGGAGTAGCTAGAAAAACAAATGAAATGTATAGCATACATGGTACACCTCACGGCTAGTTATAAAATCGATGAATGTATATTATCTTTCAGGATCTCCTATAAGCTATGAGAGTTAACTTGATGCCTTAATTTGGATCTTGATGAAGAGATTGTATATGTCTATGTTTCTTTCTTTACAGTCAGCATTATAGATCTTTGGAAATAATAGTAATCTGCAAAAAATTCTGGTAATATATGGCAATTCCTAATGAAATTAATAATGATGCTCATCTCTGTAACGATATAAAACTTATTTATAAACGAAAAAGAAATACAAAGTAGACGAGGAGCAAAGTTAATAAGCTTCCTACCTGCTAATTTGCTCTGTTGAAAGTCATAAACTATTGTATTCATCGAGACGGTAAGATTCGCTGTTGTAACTTTCCCGCTATATAGCGAACATTGAGGAATAGTCAAACTATCAAATACAGCAGTACTACAATTGGCAAACAGATTTGCACATTGAGCAGCACAAGTGATTTGATATTTTACGGTCAGACGAGTGATTATGGTGTCAGTTGAATTATAGCTCATGTTATAGTAGACATTGCCTATTGTCGAAAGTGATGCATTCGCACTTGTAGTCCAAATAAAATAACACATGCATAATAGATAAAGAAAGGCCATCTAGATTATCTAACGAATAAATAAAACATTCATATTACATTTATTATTGTGTACAATCTACATCCATTAATATTAGCTTATATCTATTGTCTATGCTTTGCTGTACAACAGTTTAGTTAGTTCAAGTTTAAACGAAGCTTTTATTTCTATACAATAAATGTTTGAACTAATTTGCATTTGATCAGACACATAACTCACTCAAATCAAATAAGAAAAAACTAACTTTGTAATGTCGAAACAGACAGATCTATGATTTTGCAACAATGGTGTGGGTCTACGTGTCGGTGAGAGTGTGAATATTATCTTCTTTATAGATCATACTCTTTCTATATTTCTTCATGGAATACGTACGTGTCTTGAAATGAACACAATTATAGTTGCTCTCAGAATTTTTAATAGAAACGAGCAAAGATAGAAAGAACGAGGGTTGAAATAAAGTTCGAAGAAGAAAAAAAAAAAGAAACGACGTTTTTTATTATATCGTCGAACATTTATAGAGTGCATAATGCTATTTTATGATTGGTTAATGTGAATTAATAAGAAAAACTAAATTGCATATTATGAATCTCTAACGAAACGGGAAGAAGTGCTGACTATTATAATGTTTATTAGAAAAAGATAATTATCTGAAACTCATTTTCTCAGAAGGAAATGAGAATTTGAAAAGGCATTGAAACAAGTGTGTATGATGTAAAATATATTTATTTTTTTACCTCTATGATAAATATGAACGTACATGGGTCTGAAAGATTTCACCAAATGAATATTAAAGTTTTTATTGCATAAAAAGATAATGTTAAGATTTACCTTATATAAGTGTAACCAGCCGGCATGAAGTCTCATTTTTTCTGTTTACGTAGGGATATCCATCTTTTGCCATAAATTCTAATATCTTAGATAACTAATTACACCATGCTCACATTTGTGCAGAATTAAATAATTCACACAGTTCTGGTGACCAATTCCATTCATTTTGAATCTCGCAGATAGTGGGAAGAATATTTTCTCAATTTTCGGCTACCGTACATCACGCAGACTAAAAGGGAATAAATACAAGGGAAGGAAGTCTGATTTGAGAGTTTGATATTTATTATCTTAAATTAGAACGCGTTCATTTTTTAATAACAAATATTAGTCTTTCTTTAAAAACAAATCAATTTACGTCAAAATCGCTCTGGATGATGAATTCAAAGGGTTTACGAAAAATTTATTTTTGCTAAAAATCCGTAAAAAAGAATTTGTCATGCACCCTTACAATTCATCATCCAGAGCGATTTTGTCGCAAATTGATTTGTTTTTAAAGAAACTGAATTTTTCGCAAACTCAAATTTTCCATCATATGGGGGTACATATAATTTTTTTTTTACAATTTTCATGATTAGTTCTATTGTAGCAGATGATATAAATAGTTCATTATTTTCAAACAAGTAACGCTCGTCCGAGGACTCGCTTGGCTCTTTCTCGTAAAAATCCATTTTCTTCACATTTACTGGAACAACAAATAAAAACCGTAAAAAATTGATTTTCGATGTTTTTTTGACCCTGCGGACACACAAGCAAGCAAGCAAACAATCAGGCAATTTATGTTTACTGGACTCTTCTCTACGAGAAAGAGAATAAAATGTAATCAAAAACTCTAGATGTAGCCAATTAGCTTCTAATAAAAATACTGATTAATCGCAATTAAGCGACGATTTTTTAACGATTTTTACGGCCTGGGCGTAAAGACGACTAAATACATTTAACGATACGAGCCAGTCAAATCAGATATTATTCTTTCTTTCTTTTTCCACTATACCTTTATATATAAAAAAGCGTTCGAATATTGTTTTTGTATATATTTACAACACGTGACAAAAGAAACGAAGCTTTATATATTATAAAACACACCATTTTAATAATACCAAGAATATGACGAATCACCCTATTTATTTCTATGATCTTGATGCACCATATGGTGAATTTGGTAATTTTTATCCGGCTCCATTTCAATTAGATGGACTCATCTGGCCAACAACTGAACAATATTTTCAAGCACAAAAATTTGTTTCACATAAAAAGCAATATAGACATATTTTAGAATTAGCTGCTCCTCGAGAAGCATTTGATTATGCTCGAACTCATGATTCATTAAAACGTTCCGATTGGAATGATGTAAAAGATGATATTATGTTTAAAGCATGTTTAGCAAAATTTCAACAACATCCAAAACTGAAAGAAATATTATTATCAACTGGTCATCGTACTTTAGTTGAACATACAGAAAATGATTCTTATTGGGCTGATGGAGGAGATGGAACAGGAAAAAATAAATTAGGAATTACTCTGATGAAAGTTAGACACCATCTTAGCCATCATCATAACGATCATCATAACCATCATCATTAAAATATTAAAATTACGAACTTTATCAAAAACGACAGTTTTTTTAAAACTAATAAATCTTTGAATAAAAATGCTGGCAAACAATACTTCAACTTAGGAAGACAATATAAAGAAAGTATAAAAATAAATCCTATGCAGATTTTGTGGATTAAAAAATTCAATA